CCTGTTTCTGTGTCTCTGTCTCTCTGTCTGTAGGAAAGGAAGAGACACAGGGGAGGAGAGGAAAGAGGAGGATGTAAAGAAAGGAAGAAGAGTAGGTGGAAGAGAAGATGAAGAAGAGGGAGAGGAGAAAGAAGGGGAGATGGGGAAAGGAAAGGGGAGTGAGGAGAAGAAGAAGAAATTAAATAATGGAAGAAGGAGGTAGATGGCTAGGTTAGGTTTGGTTAGGTTAGGTTAGGTTAGGTTGTCATTAGCCACGGTGAGTCTTATGTTACCTGACTCACACATTTCCTCATGGCTGTGTTGCTCGTGTGTTGCAACCTCACACCTCGAGGACACTGGTTCGACATAAGGGGCGGTCCCGATTTGGTAGGATTTCACGCTTATGGGAGCATGACGTGTTGTGATTGGTCCTTTCCTACCATTACGTGGGGGTATAGTGAGTGCTGATTGGTCCCTTCCTACCATTACGTGGGGGTATAGTGAGTGCTGATTGGTGCTTTCCTACCATTACGTGGGGGTATAGTGAGTGCTGATTGGTCCCTTCCTACCATTACGTGGGGGTATAGTGAGTGCTGATTGGTGCTTTCCTACCATTACGTGGGGGTATAGTGAGTGCTGATTGGTGCTTACCTACCATTACGTGGGGGTATAGTGAGTGCTGATTGGTGCTTTCCTACCATTTACGTATGTTGTTTGTAGGTCCTCCTCCTCCTACCCCCTGTTTTCTTTCCTCATCCTCCCCCCTCCCAACGTAAAAATACTCCCATGAATATTTTAGCACCCCATTATTTCCTCCTCATAATGGTCGTTTTTGGGCAACTTTCTATGTTTGTTAATACTTGTGTGTGTGTGATTATTAGTATTATTATTTACTGTTGATACAACTACAACAGTCGTTACTACTACTACTACTACTACTACTGAAAATAACAAATTTATGCCTTAATAATTATTGTAAGAAGCGATTATCTTAAATTATTCTCTCTGTAAAATGGAGAAATAATTTGGCGTGAGTAAGAGGCTGGCGGCTCCTATATCCCAGGCTTTAGTAAGTTGACCTCGGTACCCACGTTATAGTGAAGTTTGTAGCTATGGCTGTGTGGGGAGGGGGTTATGGGGAGAGGGTGTGTAGGAGAGGGAGGTGTTTTGGGGGAGACGAGGTGTTTGTGGGAGAGGGAGGGGTGTTGGGGGAGACGAGGAGTGTTTGTGGGAAGGGGGAGGTGTTGGGAGACGAGGAGTGTTTGTGGGAGAGGGAGGTGTTGGGAGACGAGGGTGTTTGTGGGAGAGGGGGAGGGTGTTGGGGAGACGAGGTGTTGTGGGAGAGGGGAGGTGTTGGGAGACGAGGAGTGTTTTTGTGGGAGAGGGAGGGGGTGTTGGGGAGGGTGTGTGTGGGGGGGAGGGAGGGACACAACAGCACACGGGGTACAGGTATTGTATTACCTGTAAGTCATCTCATTACTGTAATATACCTGAATAGTTTATCAGTCACTCGACCGTAGTCAGAGATACACTGGAGACTACTGAACACCCAACCAACTGCGATAACCATTGAGCCACCGTGTGTGTGTGTGTGTGTGTGTGTGTGTGTGTGTGTGTGTGTGTGTGTGTGTGTGTGTGTGTGTGTGTGTGTGTGGATGAAGGTTAAGCTCCCTGTACTTGACTTCCTTATAGACATATTGGGTGCAACGACCTCCGTAGACTCCTCCTTCACCGCCTCCGCCCACCGCCCTCGTCGCCGCCCTCACCGCCACAAATCTACCACAGAACCTAACCTAACCATCCAAAATTCCTCCTCCGTGAGGAGGCATTTAGTTAGGTTGGGATTAAGGTCCTCTATCCCATCACAGTCGGCCGCCCACACGCCCATAATGTGTGTAGTTATAACTCGTGAGGCGACGGTCCTGGCGCCCTGACGCGACTCTCCGGCTGAAACAGGAAGATGGGAAGAGGAGGAGGGTTATGAAGGAACTCTTAGCTGGACAAAGCGTTCTGTAAAAAGCTCTTGAAGTCACAAAAACAAAGGAAAATTCGCTCTTGGTGTTAATGCTTTTCACTGTTATGATAATTTCTGGTGCTCGTGGCTGTGCTGAGGTCACTGTTTACAACACGTGAGTAAACAAAGACGGTGTGTGATAATTATGACGGAGGCAGCAGGTGTACAGGTCCTACGGCGCCGAGAGTTCCTGAAGGAGATGAACCTATACTGAAGGAGGTGGTGGTAAGGAGGGGTCTTAGTGGGAGATGGTCTTGGAGTCTGGATAATGCCTAAGACCATCCCTGACGGTCTTGAAGTCTTAGAGTGACGACAACTGTGGATATTTCGGTTTACCATTATGTGTAGGCGGAACTAACGGTAAAGGGTTGTCTGTCACACCTACGTTTATACCGCCCACACGCCCACTAGGCCCTCAGCCATTACCACCACGACGACAACGCCCAAAACATGCCACATTATTTCGCCACAAGAATGTCTACCACACGCCCACCTCAACCACACCCA